GGCTTTATTCCCTGATTCAAGAAGTGGGCCGCATGCCACCTAGGAAAGAGAAAGGCTCAGGGGAGTTGTGCAAAATGGAAGGTATTTATAGGCAGAAACTGGGCAGGACAAAGTCGTCAGGAAAAGCAAAGGACAAGATTGTTTCAGGCAATGAGACACTTTTTTTTCTCTGTGGGAGGGCCGCCAGAGATTTAGAGGTTATAGCTTCTTTAGCGTTGATCAGCAATTTCCAGCCTGATGGGTTTAAGGTCACATTCCTGGGAGGGGGTCAACTGCAATTAGGTTTCTTAGTGCTGTTATGGGGGGGGGGGGGGGGGGGAGGGCAGGGTCCCTGAGTGCAGTGACCTTGACGGGAGAGGGCCAAGGGGAAGAGAGGGGCAACGGTGGACCCCGTAGGACTGTGCATCCGTGCTATGGGGTGTAGATCTCTTTCTGAGAGCAATGAGTGGTCTCGAGCTGCTGGAGGGTCTCGAGCAGGGGAAAGAGACGCCGCGGGATTTGTGCTTTTAAAGGGTTGTGGTGGAGTGGGGAGGGGGTTGGCAGGGGTTGGAGGCAGACGCTCCAGGAGACCAGATGCTTCCTGGGAGTCATGTGGGACTGGTGCTGGGGTTACGCGATACAAACACGATGCCTTAGGAGGAGCTGAGGGTGGGGGACACCTTGCTCTGCTGTGGCCATTTGTGTCCCACGGTGTCTAAAGGCACCCCTGCCCTCAGGCGACGCATCCCAGGCGGGGGGAGGAAAGTTTGGGGTGCCACAGCACAGAGTGGGGCTCGACGGGAGCCCACCTCAGGGCTGCGGGGAAGGTGAGCGAGAGATGGCGGGACAGGGACGGGAGCGGACCCCACGACAGCCTGGAATGCAGCCGGCGCGTGGAGCTTGCTGCTGGCCAGCTGTCCGGGGCTCCTCAGCGGGACATGAACCCCTGGGGCAGAGATGACCGGGACCAGGAAACCTGGAAGTGGAGGCCCCTGGACTCGAGGCCCGGGGAGGGACCGGTGGTCACCCAGGCTGGGGAGGGCTGGTCCTGCCTCGGCCTGCCTAGTGTCTAAGCCAGGCTAGGGGGCCTGGCAGTCGGTTCACGGTCAAGGTCTGTCCTGCAGGGCGGAGGAGAAGCCCCTACCTGACTCAGATGGCTAATGGACCAGGGGAGCCCCTCAGAGAGCCAGCGACATCCCCGCAGCTGGAACCGGGAAGCCACTCAGAGAACGATGCCAAGGGAACTTCCGCTCCCCTTCAGAGCTGACTGAGCGTGCCACCCTGGGGACATTCGTCCTGCTTCAAGCATCTCCTGTGTGCCAGCTCCTCGCCGGGTATCAGGGTCAGTGCAGGATCAGCCATGGTGCATCCCTGGGGGAGCGCAGACCACCACACGGCAGTGACACCTAGACTGCATGTTCCCAAAGGACAGGAGCCAGGACTGTCTCATTCACCCCCAGGGACTCACCTGAAGAGGCCGGAGGCTGAACTCGTAGTCAGTGCTCAACAAACGTTTGTTGAATGACTGACTGAGCCACGCATGTTGAATGGAAGCAGCACAGTGGTGGTGGCCCTTAGGAAGGAGCAACAAACCGAGCTTGGGTGGGGAGTGAGCTTCAGGGGGAGGCTTCCTGGAGGAGGTGACATTTGAGCTGGCCCTAAAGAGTGCGTAGGAGTTTTCCAAAGAACAGCAGGTCGAGAGAACCACATAAGCACAGATCCAGAGGTGAGAAAGGGCCCGTACCAACCAGGGGACTGAGCAGTCCGTGCCTGGGGTGGGGTTGGAAAGTTGAGGACTCCTCCAGGAGGGGCGTGGCACTAGGGTCCCTCTGCCAGGAGCCCCCGCAGGCTGGGCCGAGGTGGGATAGGCCAGCAGCTCCTTAACGGTTAGATCCTTCTGACTGTGCCAGCTTCCGGCTTGGCTGCGGGTCCCCCTGCTCATTCCTGAAGCTTCTGTTGCGGTCAAGGCTGCAGATACCGTGGCCAAGGACAGGGGCCAGGGAGCTCTGCGTTTGTGCTGGAAGGGACTTTGGTGCAGTTCGGAACCCAGAGGACATCACTCACCCGGGTGACGGCTCTCCCCACCTCAGGGAGAGACCTCGGCCCAGCCCACACTTTGCAGACCGCCCTGCAGGGGATCCCACTGCAGAAAGAGGCCTCAGAGCGGGACTCGGGGCTCAGCAAACAGCATGAGCTGGCATGCAGCCCCTCCTCGCCCTCTCAGCCAGGGGCACTGGAGGAGTGCGCAACCCAGCGACAGTACAGGTCGCCCTGCTTGCATCGCAGGGCCTTTGCAATCTGGCAACAGGAAAGGCCCAAATCCCCACGCGTGGCATGCTCTGCTCTATGGCACTGCTGGTTTCTGCTGCAGGATGGCCCACCCCGAGCTGTCATCAACCCTTGGACTTTCAGGACAGATGTTTCCGCCACTATTTAGTCAGTGGGCTTGAAGGTAATTTGGGGAAGAAACAACAGGGATGCTATAGTTTTTGACCTCCCAAAACTCCGCTGTAAAAATGGACAGAGCACAAGGACAGCAAAACCCAAAACTCATGGGTGGCAGCCACGTGAAGCCAGGTGGCCAGGTGTCCCCAGCATTCGAGCAGGGGGACACAAATCGTCAGCGGCTGCAAGACCCACACGGCATCAGCAACAGCAGGAGAGGACGGGGAGGGGAGTCAGCGGGACCCTGACGGTCCTGAGCACTGGAGGACCCCCCCAGTCACCTACAGGTCCTCCAGGGCCAGCCTGGGGGTCCCGTCAGAGAGCAGGAGCCAAACCCGGGGTCGGGGGCTTCCCCTGGCAGCGCGAGGGAAGGCAGCAGTCAGCACAGCGGGGCTGGAGCCGCCTGGGCCCGGGAACTCCTGAATTAGCCAGAGGAACCTGCCTCCAGGACCATGGCCCAGACTGGGAGGACACTGGCGGGGAGGCGTCCAGAGGGCCCAGCATGGGAACAGCGGCAGGACGACCCAGGGGGCCAAGAAGAGGGACGGTTTATGGCCTACCTCCCCTCCCAAAACATTCAGAAAATCTCATCCCACTGGGCAGACAGGAGCAGCAGAAAGACACTGCACAGAGACACTGCACAGAGAGGGTGGGGAGCGGAACAGCAGCCCCACAGCCCGGAAGATGGGCCGGAGAGACACACCCTCCAGACAGGGAAGAGCTGGAGGTTTCCTATTTCCAAATGAGCTGCTGGTTCACTTTGTTTTATTTACTTCTCTTTTGATGCTTACCTCCCCAGGACTTCTTTATCTTACGACTGGAAGTTTGTACGCATTGACCCCCTTCAGCCTCTGGCACCTGCCAATCTGTTCTCTGCATCTATGAGTTTGGTTCTTTAAGATTCCACATATAACTGAGATCACGCCGCATTTGTCTTTCTCTGTCTGACTCGTCTCCATTGGCATCCTGCTCTCAAGGTCCATCCATGTTGCCGTGAATGGCAGGACTTCCTTCTTTTTTTTTGTTTTTTGTTTTTTGTCTTTGGGGGTTTTCTTGTTGTCATTGTTGTTGAGGAAGATTGGCCCTGAGCTAACATCTGTCACCCATCTTCCTTGGTTTTTTATGTGGGTCACCGCCACAGCATGGCTGACGAGGGGTGGAGGTCCATGCCCAGGAACCGAACCCGCGCAGCCAAAGTGGAGCATGCCAAACTTAACCACTAGGCCACAGGGCTGGCCCCAGGATTTCCTTTTTTATGGCTGAACAATACTCATTATTTTAGATATTAAGGACCTAATAGAAATTGTGAGCTATTCGAATAGAATAGAACAGAATAGAATAGAAATTGTGAGGGGGGCATACATTGGAGCTAGAAAAAACTCAGAAACCAAGCAATTGGAGAAAAGGGAAATTTGAAAAGAGGTAACAGAGCTCAGAACAGAATTAAAATAAGAGGGAAAACTATTTAAGAAAATGAAGACTAAAACTAAAAGGAACATGAGAGCAAATAGGTACAACAGATAATGCCTTAAAAAAACAGATGACAGGGGCCAGCCTTGTGGCTTAGGGGCTAAATTCGGTGGAATCCACTTTGGCAGTCCAGATTCGCGGGTTCAGATCCCAGGCACAGACCTACAGCACATGTCAGCCATGCTGTGGTGGTGACCTACATACAGAGTGGAGGAAGATTGGCACAGATGTTAGCTCAGGGCCAATCTTCCTCAGGGGGAAAAAAAAATACAATGAGAACAGGAACACTTAAAAATCAAAAAGAAATGTTAGGACAAAAAAAAAAATGTTGAGGGACAACTATAGATGAGGAAAATAGGCCAGTAAGATCCAAGAGACACATAAGGGGAATCTCAGAAGAAAACCAAAGCAAAGGGACAGAACTAGAACCAAAAATTATAATTCAAGAAAATTTCCTGAAGTGAGAAAAGTTTAAACCACGTGATAAAGAGCACACTGCTCAGGAAACCAATCGCCAAAGACCAAAAATATGAGGCACGATGGGTGTTATATAAGGTGTAAGGTAACCAGGAGACAAAGGTTCTCAATGCCAAAATATGCACTAAAACCAACAGAGAGACAGCGAGTGTGGTGGTCTTACGGACCGGACGTGTGTGCCCCTCCAAAATTCCTATTTTGAAGCCCTAATTCCCCCCATCCTGCCCCCGCTCATGTGATGGTGTTCAGAGACAGGCCTTTGGGAGGTTGTTAGGGTTAGATGAGGTCATGAGGTCTTGAGGTCATGAGGTCATGAGGGTAGGGGCCACATGATGGAATCATTGCCCCCTTAAGAGGAGGCCAGAGAGATTGCTGTGCCGCGTGAGGACACAGCGAGAAGGCCACCGTCCACAAGCCAGGAAAAGAGCTCTCATAGGAACCAACTCTGCCGACCTCGATCTTGGACCTCCCAGCCTCCGGAACAGTGAGGAGAGAAATCTCTGTTGCTGACGCTGCCAGGCCCGTGGTGCCGTGTTTTGGCAGCCCGAGCTGACAGGTGGATCGTCTCTTGTCAACTAAGTGCCACCATCATGCCCCTCCAAAGCTGAGAACTACATGTCCCAGAATCCCCTTCTCTGTGCAGCTCCTGGTAAGTTACCACTGAGAGGCATTTTCAAACAATGTGTAAGGAATACGTACAACAGAAACCATTATTCTCTAGACGTTGCGCCGACCAGATACAACAGCCTCACGAATGTCTCCGGGAGCTTCCACCCGGCCCTGTGTAGGCGTGGATCCCAACACTCCGGGCTCCTCCTCGCGCCCATGGCGGCCACAGCTTGACCTCTCCTGACCTCTGCTTCCCACCTGCTCCAGTGCCCCAGGCCGAAGAGACCAGGGACCACGTCCCCCATCCTCAGCCGCAGCCTCCCAGACCTTCACCACCGCCCCCCCGCCGCCCAGCTCCTCCTGCATCCACGCAAGCCCTGATTTCCATTTTCAGCCCTTTATTTCTGGAGTACACGTAGAGGTTCTGCGTTCCTGATCCAACTCAGGTGGACGCAGTTTCCTACAGCAGAAGTGGGGTCTGGAAAAACAGACCCTTAAAGATGTGAATCTGAAAACTGTCCTCCGGCTTGATTAGGTTTAAAGGCGTTTATTACCTCATTGCCAGCGGTGAACGGGACGCTGGTATTCATGTCCACACGCAGCCGAAACAGCAGCTCTGGTCTCTTCCTAAAGGGGCAGTGATTCCATCATGTGGCCCCTACCCTCATGACCTCATGACCTCATGACCTTGTCTAACCCTAACCACCTCCTAAAGGCCCGTCTCTGAACACCATCACATGGGCGGGGGCGGGATGGGGGGAATTAGGGCTTCAAAATAGGAATTTTGGAGGGGCACACACGTCCGGTCCGTAAGACCACCACACTCGCTGTCTCTCTGTTGGTTTTAGTGCATATTCACGCAGCCGAAACAGTTACCTACGTAAGCACCGTGAGTCACACGGGGTCAGGCGCCTACCGAGGGCGGGGCGTGGTGACATGTAGCTGTGGCAATAGGCTCTGAGAGGGAAATAGGGCACACCAGAGTGCAATTGCTGTGACGTTGGCTGGCCTCTTCCAACCACACGGGAGGATTTAGAGGGAAAAAACGGGAGCTCAAGCCTTTAAGTACCCAGCTCATGACCGAGCTATTAGGAACTCCCATTTCCGCCCTAAAAGAGCCCAGATCTCTTGAAGCCACAAAGCTGAGATTTCAGCAGAACCCAAACCCAAACTCTGACCCTGTGGGTGGCGAAGTTACAACACAACCGTTGGAACTCGTGGCCACACAGCTTCTCCTCAGTTGAACTTGGGCCTCGATTGGGAAAAAGGGGGAACCCTCGACATGGGCACCGATTCCATTTGGAAGGATTCCCACGCGGCTAGGATGCTGACCCTCCGAACTCCACAGAACCCCTCTGGCTGGGAGAAGCAGCGCCTTGTCCCTCGCTTGGGGCGTTGGCTTGAGGAAACTCTAATGACCGGCCCTAAGGTGGACCCTTCCCCAAGTGGCTCTTGCCTCTAGATCTGCACCTAGAGTCCAATCACAGCACGCCCCGGGAGCACGGGGACAAAATCTGACTCAGGAAGATGTGGTATAGACAGGGCAAAAGAATTGACAGGCGTTTCCGGTTTCTCTTGGCGGAAACCTCAGGAATCTGTATGGGAACGGCCCCTACAGGTGTTAGCCCGGGATGGGAGGAACGTAATGTTGCTGGAAGAAATGGACTGCTTGGGTCAGGCTTTATTGTTTGCTATGCGGGCACTCGCCCAGGCTGGATCCAGCGTGTTAACTCGACAGCTGGGAGCGGCTCTAATCCTTCGCTCACCTCGTTGACTGAAATCTGGACTGAGTGGTGGCCCGTTCTGAACGAAGCTGAGGCCCCAGGACTTCCTCGGAAGATTGCAGTCTTTCAAGTTTGGCATTATTTTTTTTTTTTTAAGATTTTATTTTTTTCCTTTTTCTCCCCAAAGCCCGCAGGTACATAGTTGTATATTCTTCATTGTGGGTCCTTCTAGTTGTGGCATGTGGGACGCTGCCTCAGCGTGGTTTGATGAGCAGTGCCATGTCCGCGCCCAGGATTCGAACCAACGAAACACTGGGCCGCCTGCAGCGGAGCGCGCGAACTTAACCACTCGGCCACGGGGCCAGCCCCCAAAGTTTGGCATTATTGATATTTTGGGCCAGATAATTGTTTGTTGAGGGGGCTATTCCGGGGGACCGCTAGATGCTTGTAACACACCTCCTCTAGTTCTAACAACCAAAAATGTCCCCAGACGTTGCTAAATGTCCCCTGGGGACAAAATTCCACCTGGTTGAGAACCGCTGCTGTAGAGAAAGATATTCAAAGACTTGAGGGCACAGGAATGTTGGAGTGGATTGCTTACACACAGCCTACTTGCCCATGGTCCTACTCTGCGCCCGCGAGGGCCTGCAGCAAAGCGTGCAGAAATACACTGGGGGAAGGTCACAGCACGTGGAAAGGCTCTGGCTGTTCTGTCTGGGCCGGGAGTGACAGAGGGCCATGCTGCCCCTGAAATGGGTTCCTGAGTTCAGTGGGGATCATGGAACCCCAACGTGGGTTATGTTAGGTAGAAGGATATTGTTGTTTTCTATATTCAAAAGTTAAGTGTAGGTAACCACAATGAGATACCACCTCACACCCACTAGATGTTTACTGTGAAAAAAATGGAAAATAATAAGGGTTGGTGAGGACGTGGAGAAGTTGGAACCATTGTGTGCTGTTGGTGGGAATGTAAAACGGCGCAACTGCTATGGAAAACAGTATGAGAGTTCCTGAACAAATTAAACACAGAATTACCATATGACCCAGCGATCCTACTTCTGGGTGTACCCCCGAAAGAACTGAAAACAGAGGCTCAAAGAGGGATTTGTACTCCTATATTCACAGCAGCATTATTCGCAGTAGCTGAACTGTGGAAGCCAGCCATGTGTCCGTCAACAGACGGACGGATGAAGAAAATGTGGTCCATCCACACAATGGAATATTACTCAGCCCTAAAAAGGAAGGAAGTTCTGACACGTGCTACAACATGGATGACCCTGGAGGACACGCTGAGTGAAATAAGCCAGCCACCAAAGGACAAATACTGTAGGACTCCACTTATATGGGGTCCCTGGAGCCAACAAATTCATAGACAGAAAGTAGAACGGTAGGGGCCAGGGGCTGGGGGAGGGGAATGGGGACTCAGTGTTTAGTGGGGACAGAGTTTCAGTTTGAGAAGATGGAAAGTTCTGGAAATGGATGGTGGTGATGGTTGCACAACAATGTGAATGTGCTTAATGTACTGAACCATGCACTTAAAATGTTTAAATGGCAAATTTTATGTTAGGTGTATTTCACCACCATTTTTTTTTTTAAAGATCCTGGAATTCCAAATTTTTTTAAAAGAGAAAAAAT